TGTCTTGAGAGACTGAAAAACTGGCATCATCAGCAAATAGAATGGGAATACTTAGTCTCCAAAATCTTGCGTAGGTCATTTATATATATTACAAACAGCAGTGGTCCCAGTATCGACCCTTGCAGGACACCATTAGTTAATTTAACCCATCGAAAGTTTACTTTACTACTGTTTGTCCCTTTGCAGATAGCAGTTCTCTGTTTTCTATTCAATAGATATGACTTATATAGGTCNTATAATGATTCATGGATGAAATAAAATTGAATTGAATTTTATTCCATAATACCTCAATTTATTTAATAATATATCGTGGCTAACACAACTGAAAGCCTTCTCTAAGTCACAGAAAATCCCACAGACTTGCATTTTTTTATTTAATGAGTCTAGTATTCCAGAGATAAGTCTATAAATTGCATTTTCAGTCCCTTGATATTCTCTAAATCCAAACTGGTATTTGCTTAATATACTATTATCACTCAAATGTATTAACAATCTACTATGCATTACTTTCTCAAATATCTTACTAATAGAGTCACTATGGATATTGGTCTGTAATTTGATTCTAAGTTTTTATCACCCTTTTTGTATATTGGTACAATTGTAGCATATTTTAATCTGTCTTGGAATATACCCTCATGCATAACTCTGTTACATAAGTAACTTTTAGATTCACTATCTGATGTACCTGAACTCAATTCACAGAATTTGTCATTCTTTTAATGGCTGTGCTGGATACACTATAAAGAACTGCTTGATTTAATCTACACTATCCTTTTTATATAAAATGTGTACTGTGATCCAATAAATTTTGAAAACATCCAAAAAATGAAAAAATGCGTGGGTTGAGCTCGGTCAAATTTAAGTTTGCTTCCTGCTTACCTCTGCATGTAGGTAATAAAGTCATATAAAATGGTAACGCCCTGCGGGACGGTAGCAAAACTGCGATAATAAGGAAAGGTCTCGGGACACACACTGAATTCGAACACGGTGGACTCTGCTTAAACAATCCACCAGGTCTGGAAAGAGAAAGGAGAATGCAACCATTTTTACGTATGAACACTTTCCATCTTGGAAACAGATTTAACCACATCGAACGCGTCAAAAGGTAACATTCTATGGAATACAGAAGCCGAACCATATGTACATATAAATGAGTAAAATCTACGGAAAATTTTTTCTAATAATCATGTCAGTTAACATTCCCAAAAATCCTTCCTACTTACACCACGATCCACGCAGCTCCAGAAATATCACGCAAGCTCCTATGCAAGACGGAGAGAGCAGACAAGTCAGAACACACACACATGCGAGAGCGTGCGAGACGGCGCGAGAGGCAGTGATCAAGCCAGTCTACGACGCTAAAACAATGTTAGAGTAAAAACTATGCAAGATTTATAGTCAGGAGTTCTTATTGAAATTTTTCCAACTTAATGGAGCATATTATTTAAAAATTAATCGTTGTATTAATTAGTCCACTTAAATTAAATACTAATGATGCATAAAACGGATATGACATGTTTGGAAAGTTTCGAGTAACGTAATAATAGATGCCGCTAAAACAGCATCCGTCAATGCTGCCAACAGTTACAGGTACAGAACTGAACAGTCGCTTATATAAATGAATGTAAGAATATAATGTAAGTTAATGTTAGAATACTGACTACACAGATGGATTACATTTATATCGGTTTGTAAAGTAGAGCCCTAAATCAGTACCAACTTTAATATTTTAGATCACTTAAAAGCAATTGACTGCATTATTTGTTGGTATGATTGGTTTTTACCATTCCGCTCCAGTCCATATGGTCCGTATGATGCATATCTCATTGTTAATAGAAGCAGTAGTTAGTGTTTCATCTTTTACTATCCCAATGAGCTAGTGTACATTGGCGTGTGCGTAAGTAAGTCATATAAACCAATCCAACAGTTATATTTATTCAGTTTGGAGGGGTAGAGAAATCAAATGGCCACAACGTACACGTGCGTGACCTGTCGAGTTGCGTTTAAGGATGCAGAGATTCAGAGGCAGCATTACAAAACTGACTGGCACAGATATAACCTAAAGAGGAAAGTTGCAGAACTCCCTTCAATCACCGCCGAAGACTTTAAGTGTCGGGTACTTATTCAACGAGAAAAGGACGACAATGATAATAAAACTACTTCTGTACATTGTAAAGTATGTAGAAAAAATTTCAGCACACAGAATGCTTTTGAAAATCATTTGAATTCAAAGAAACACAAAGTAGGAATGTTGGAATATCCAAGTACTGTTAGTGAGAATCAAGTTGACATATATGAAGAGTCCTCAAAAACAGAATTACCTCCTGATCCAAATAAAGTTAAGGGTTTACAACAGTCTTCTGCCATAAAAGTTAATTCTGGTAATTCAGATATAGAAGAAGTTGACTCTGATGAGTGGGATGAAGAGGAAAATCCAGTTCTGAATAATAATTGCCTATTTTGTTCTCACCATAGTGCTAATATGATTAAAAATTTGAAACACATGACTATGGAGCATTCATTTTTCATACCAGATGCTGAATATGTAATTGACATGAAGGGTTTACTTACATATTTAGGGGAGAAAGTGTCGCAGGGTTTTATATGTCTCTGGTGTAATGACAGAGGAAAGACTTTCTATTCTGTTCAAGCTGCACAACAGCATATGCAGGATAAAGGACATTGCAAGATGCTACATGAGGGTGAAGCACTTGCAGAGTATGCAGACTTCTATGATTATAGTTCAAGTTATCCAGACCAACAAGAGCAAAATACAGATGAAGAAGTGTCCATTCCAGTTCTTGATGGGTCAGACTTTCAGCTTGTATTGCCGTCAGGTGCTACTATAGGACATCGATCTCTAATGAGATATTATAGGTTGGTGTAATATCATATGCTTATTGGTTTTATCACATTTACTCTAATGTAAGGTCTCGCAAAGTTTGTGGAACTGTAGTCTTCCTCTTCATAGCTTCTTGTTCTGCTAGCCAGTCCAATTCTACCTCTTGGTCAGGTTGTTTGCCATCACCAGAAGAATGCCTTGCCCTCAGGCTGATTGTCTGGTTTCTGAACAATTATTTTTATTGTGTGAGATTGTTAGCCTCCTGCCCAACCCCAAACCTGGAGGACCAGGGTATCTCTCTTTGTCTGGCTCCTACCCCTTGACCTGTCCGGCATGGCTGACCCTACCAGTAGCTACGCTACCACCCACATAGCTCTCAGGGTCTCAGGAACAGTCAAACCCCATGTGTAACTCATGAGTACCAAGGAAGAGATGTAGTTTGTAACTTTGTTCAATGATGTGAACACAGGATGGTAGATTGGTTTATATTGGATTGGATTGGATTGAATTGAATTAGATTAGATCAGATGAATTGTGTTAGATTAGATCAGTTTATATATTTTAAATCAATTAGTAATACGTTGAAATGGTTAAAGCTCATTTGCAAAGGGACAGTATTTTTATCATTACTTCTGTCTTTATATATGATGACTGAATAGTGCATGAAATTGTAGAAGTGATTCTGATCTCCCACACCAAACACATAATATACCAAATTATTACTAGTTAATCTAAAAACAAAGCTAACCATATCTGATCTAATCTAACATTGATATAAAATGCAAAAGAAAAAAAAAAAGGCTATCAGAGCAATGTTGGGATATGGCAATAGAGTTTCATGTAGAAACATATTTAAAGAGTTAAATATTTTATCACAATATACATTTTTGTTGTTAGTATTTTTATTGCAAAATAAAGTTCTTTTTCCATCAAACATTGATTCTCATACTATTGATACTAGACAAAGACAAAATTTGTATTTACCTCAAACTAATTTAACTATTTATCAAAAAGGAGTTTATTATGCCAGTATAAAAATATTCAGTAAATTGCCCATAGGGATCAAGAACACATGCAATAATTTTAAAAAGTTTAAGGTTGTATTAAGGCATTTCTTGAATACTCATACGGTTTATACTGTGGATGAATATCTAAATAGATAATTTTTATTGTTGTTGTATTGATTGTACTGCCTAGTTGTGTAATTTTTATGTATGTATTCTGTGCTCTATGTTATTTTATGACATGTTCTATATCCATCTTTGGATCTCTTGAACGTACAGTAAATACAAATACAGTAACTGCTGACTTTTCTCCTGTATTGGCAAGTGTGATTATTATGAAGACATGCACATGCTTCCAGATGTATATAATATGATGAGACAGGAGTAGGAAAAAAGTGCACAAATAAGTAATCAGATGTACAGTGTAAGTTAAAATTATAGAACCTCTGCTTACTTTCTTTCTCATTAGGATTTTGAAAGGTATACTGATCCTATACTGTTTCACTTGAAAAACTGAAGAATTTTAAGTACACTCAACTCTCACTTATCCGGGATAATGGTGGGGATGGAAATCACAATTAATTGAAAACCTGGTTAAGACAAATTTTATTAAAAGTAGTACTGTAATACTGTACCTTCATAATACTATAAGCCTACCTGTATTTAAATTTATTCAACTTCATTTTTATGTCATCTCATGGCCTATTTAATATTTTTACATTACACTGAAGTATGAATTAGTTATTTCAATCACAGTGTTCAACAACATCCAACACTTTTTACGAATATTCACATGTAACACTTAAAAAAAGTTTAATATTGTTGTTTGCTTTTTCGCGGAATTTTCCTTTTTACAGATATCCGTACGAAGCCTACATAATATTAGCTTGTCACTTAATAAACTGTTCTCTTCGCTCTCAAGATAGTCTGGTAAGGATTCCAAATGATTAAGAGCAGCACCATGTGATATTTTCCTACTAGCAGCACTGTCCACCTCTTCCTCGTTCTCACTTACTTCCTGCTCTTCTGGCTGCACCCCCACTGAACTTATGATTTTGTCACTGCTTAACATTTCGAAGCCCAGCTCACACGAGTCACAGTCAAACCACTCTCTTATATTTTCCTCGTTGACTTCTTCACCACCATGAACTTGGTTAGCCAATTTTGTCAAATCTACAGCTATCTCATTTTCACTGAATCCAGTGAATCCATGGATTTCGTCATCTTCATTAGTGATGAAAGGCAACAGTTTCTTCCATGAATTTTTCAATACAGATAGC